GGGGCGCGGCCGGGTTCGCGAGGTGAAAGTTCAGCGCCGGGGCAGAGGCTCGCGGGGCCGCGGCGCTGCCGATGGGTGGCCGTAAAATATATTTATTTGCTACCCGCGGCTCTTTTGTCTCTTTGCCCCTCGCGTCCCCCTCCTCGCCCCGTCGCTGCACAGGTTACCGGGGCGCTTCCCGCTGCCGCGGAGGGCCGCGACCGCAACGGTTGCGGGAGACACTCGCCGCGCACCTGGCGGAGCCGCAGCGGCGCGGGACAGAGTTCCCGCGGGCAGCCGCCTGACACGGCCCCGCGCCCCGCGGGACAGCGGGCCGGGTGGGGAACTGCGCCCGATTCGCCGCCCCGCGCCCCGTCGGCCCGCAAACGAAATCGGGCCCCTCAGGGTACGGCCGCCGACGGGCTCCGCGGGCAGGGGCGTGGGGCGCCGCGGGGGCGCAGGCTGCGCGGCCCGGGCACCGCCGCCCCTCCTCCCCGCGGGCGGGAGACGCGCCCCGGGAGAGAGGCGGCTCTCCCTCCCGAGCCGTCCGCGGCGGCGGCCAAATGAGGGTGCCGGCGGGAGGCGCCGTGCAGCGCACTTCTTTGGGGGTAGCCCGCGGCATCGAACCGGCGGGGCGGCCCGGCCCGGCCGCGGACACCGCCAACTTCGTTGGGCACCGGGCCGCGGCATCCCCGGCCAGCGGGACGGGAGCGACGGCACACGGCGACCCGCGGGTCTGGCCCTGCCCTGCCTTGCCCCGCCACGGGCCGCCGCCGTCGGGCCGGGCGCCCTCCGCTACCGCTAATGTCCGCAGCCTTCCCAGCCCCGTCCCCCTGCCTGGGCTGCGCTTTGTTCCACGGAGCTGAATCCCCCGTCCCGTTCAGCGGCCCCGCAGGCAGCCCCCTCTCTCTGATGGGCACAACACGCAGGTAACAACACGGTGCTTGGCTTCTATTACTCGGCGGTGCTCGGGTCTGCGCGGCTCGGCGGTCTCACGCAAAATTAAAGCTAAACAAACACATACTTTCCCCACTTTTTTTTTTTACAACGACGATTACGGTATAAAATATAACTCGGTTTTCTAATGAAAAAGGCTAGTGCGTTTTATTTGTTCCTGTTTACGGTTCGAGACTTCATCTGCACAATTGTATTTCTCGCTTGAAATAAACTGCTTTGAAACTATCTCTCTTTAATTAATTTAATGTATTTTCTCTGTGCAGCTGGCAGTATTAGGTGTCTATCAGATTGCCATTTTCCATTTGAGATGTTTAGAAAGCGAACAAGAACACAAACAGACACCTCTTCGAAAGAGGTTCGTTCCCTTTCCTCCCCGTGTACCGCTCCGAGACACTACGGAAAGAGCAAAAAATGCTCGTTTTAACCGAAGTCAAACCGAGGAGAATCTGTATTATAACATCAAAGAAAGGGAGACGTTACAAAATCGGTGGAGTTACACTACCATCTGTCGTTAAGCTTCGGGACTACAAAAGTTCAGACGTATATTAAATCGTAATGAGAGCTGGCAACTTTGTTTTTTCTTTTTCGCCTCGAACTCCTGCCGCCTTGGCAGAGTGGGTTTCCCGGCGTGGCTGAAGACTCGCGAGTGACGGGCAGCAGTTTGCCGATGCCCTTCACACACACGTCTGTCCACTGCCACTTGCGTCACTGCCAGGCCAAAGGACTTGTTCTGGCACCTGATGGCCCCAAGCAGTTGCTCATCAAAACACATAGGCGCCCACACTTCATAGCACTTCTTAGCCTCGGGAGATTGTGTTCACAGAAAGATGGTCTGAATTTAAAGAAAATAAATAACATTTATAATAATAAAACAACAAAACAAAATCACACCAAAAAAACACAAATTAAAAACCAAAACAAACAGGAAAAAACCAAACAGATCTCTCATATTGCAACTGTAGGATTCAATTTAGCCCATTTTGTATACCTATTCTGCGATGCTGCATTTTGAAAAGGAATATATAGAAAACACACCTTGGAATAATATCTGTGAAGAAGCTCCTCTGATTACTCTTACAACTTTGAGAGCTGTAAGCAAATCCTTAGCAGAAGCATAAAATTATTTTATATTACCCAGGGTAAAATGGCAACTTCTATGTCCTTGTAAAAGTTTCACATTAGACTTTAACTCTTTCTAAATTCTTCAGTTAAAGAGCTTGCAAATGCCCATTTGCTATAGTTACTGAAGAAACAAGGAGTGTTTTCTTTGGGATTTTCTGAATATTGGTGTTCCCTGTGTTTCAGAGGCCAATGGCTACTCATGCAAGTAAGGATCGTCACTGAACTCTACCGTGAAAACTGTCAATTTTATCATTATTTTATCACAGTTTCTATTTCAAGACAGGTGTGTTTTAGTGAATATTGATCCAAATGTGTTGCTGGATGGAATGCTTATCCTTAAAGGTTAACTTTCAGGTTGTTTCTCTTTCACTGTAGAAATTCAGGGAACTTTGTCTTCAGCCTGGCAATTCGCATGTGCTCATAGTCCTTACACTGTAATTAGCACTAGACATCTGCCATTACTGTTTGAGGTGAAGATGGTGGTTAAACACACTCATATAAATTCTGCTTCCCAATCTGATTCCCACTCCTAGAAAAACTCCGTTTTCTATATCCTACTGTTACACTCAAAAAGGAAATTTTCACTTTTAGTTTGTCAACATGTCAAAAAAGAGAAACTCATTTCCTCTGAAACTCCATGTCCACTTTCCAGGCTATCTCATAAAATGCTGAATTATGCTGCAAGCAATAAACACTTTCAGTATTCCTTTGCCTACCATGTTGTTTTCATGTTACTCAAAAAAAAAAATATTACATTTTCTATCTTCTCCATAATGAGCTAAGTTGTCATAAACAACTAAGCTCTTTGAATCAATATTAAAAGCTAAGGTTTCTGAATTGGTGAAACAGGTGTCTAACATTCATCTGACAACCACTTACTGATTTAGGAACATGGTAAAAAACGTGTATACAAAAATTTGCTGATGATTTCAGTGTTTGCACTACCTACAGTTTTATATATCCCTAATATAGTAAAATTTCATTTTTAAGTTATTCAATAGACATTATAGCAGCAAACAAACTTTAAAAAATCAAATAATTGAGAAGCACTGGGAAAAAGAAAAACAAAGTGTGGCTCTCAAAATTGTCTTGCTTGAGTTCATACAAATGCTGCCCTGTACAGCACTGACAGAAACAAAGGGATTACACTGTGTCAGTCTCATTTCTTCAATCCGGGGGGGAGGGGGAACAACCAAAAAGTTGTGCAAATTTTCAAACTCGATTTCTGTATTGGAAAAACATGTCAGAATTTTTGACATTATGTTTGACATCTATATATGAAGATGACCTATACATCTTTCTGGAATCTTTTCCTGGTTTGTGGCCAGGTTTGGATAAATAGGCCATGCTGACTTTTCAGGTCCTGCTCCCCAACCATTAGTTGTATATATGAAAGTCTTTTTTAGCCAAAGGTGAGGAAAGTTTTAAAATTACTAAACCTTTTGGTGAGTTTCCAAAGTATAACCCAGGGAGCAGTATCACAAACATACATAAACAAGTAGCCGTGAATCTCATGAACAGCTCATAACTTCTGAAAAGTTTGACATCTGACCTGTAAGATGGTACTAAAATTTAGGCATGTAAATCTAAGATTGTAATCTTTCAAAACCTTGTTTAGCTTCCAGGGAGTTTACATTGATAAGGTGCCAATAAATTTGCTTAGGCTTCTAAGGTACCACTTCTGAAAATACTCAAATTAATAACTGTCACATTCAGGCCAAAGAGCTTGGTGAGTTTCCTCAACTTAACCAACCTCCTAAGACTAGGCATCTTCTGTGCAGCTGAGCATTAAATTGTAACTAGGTCAAATGCCCAGTCAGTCCTTAGAGCAGCCAGTGACCCAAGGCTCCCATTTCCTTTGTAAGTGTCCTACCTGCTGGGCTGTGCACCCACACTTCTGCTGCTCCAGCTGGTCTTCAACCCCTGTTCTGCAAAGGGGCACTACAGCCCTACTCCAGATCAACCCCAGCCAAGTGCTTAGGTCATGGTGCCGGGAGGTGGCCGATGGCCTAGGCCCAAGGAGGGTCTAGAAGCCCATTAGAATAACATCGTAATTTAGTTATTGTGTATATATATAAAAGACATTGCAGCAACTCCCCTTTGCTGTCATGTTTCAAACCATCAGTGAGAACACCTATGGCTTTTATGAAACAGACCATACAAACACCATCTCCCAAAGAGCGTTCAGGGCTCTGAATAGCATAGTAGCAGGGCATGGCAACCCCAAGAAGGGAAGCAGTAAAGGCAATGTTGTCTCTTCAGCCTGGTGGGAAGCTCATCTTCAGATGAACTACTCCAGCCTCACTCAGAACAAAAAAGGTGTGTGGGTTGGTAGAGGAGTAGAGAAGTAGAGGAGTAGTAAATGAGTGGGCTTTGTAATACCAAGAAGAGCATACATTTATGTTCTAGATCTTTCTTCTTAAGCAAAAAATACTTACATTTAGGGAAATAGATTTAGTGTCTGGACAATGCTTTCCTTTGGTACAACAGACACACAGACCACATTAAAGACACAAAATTCCTTTCAGTTTCATGACGTTTACATACCTGCAGCAACATTGTGGGAATTCTGGAAATTCTGTCAGTATTTAGGATTAAGGGACAGAGCTGTCTTTTTAGAAACCATTTCTATGTCATACACACAAATTAGCATGTATTAAGTAGTCATCTTTCTGACCACAAGTAGTTGTATAGAATTCATGGGTTTGGGAAGTAAATTGAAAGCAGACAGTGGATGTTAACAATATGGTTAGATGCAGGAGTTTTACGCTAGTCAAACACTAAATAAATCCATTTTTTAGGTTTATTTAAGAGGACTTCAGGACACAACCTCAGAATATATATTTTTAAGGCAGTAGAGATACTACCTTGTAGGTGTGAATTACAGAGTTCTGTGATTCAGGAGCAGCAAAGTAACTTTGTTTTCCAAATTTGTAAAAAACTATAATCACATAAATGACAACATAATACTTGTTTCCTCAGCATTCCCCTTTTCACTTTCCTTCAACAGAAAAAAACATTTTTTTATTGCTTCAGCTACACACCCAATACAGCTAGGAGGAGAGTCAGAGAAATTTGAGATGAGGTACCATCTACACAAGTGGATATCTTACTGCTGCACTTTAGATTGTCAGTTATTTTACTCATTGTGCGAGAGGCAAAAAAGACAAGCAACTCAGAAAAACAGTATTTTTTACGACAAATTATTTGCAAGGAGAGGAAGTACTAGAAGTTCAATAACTTTATACCTAGTTGTTAAAAAAACCACAGAATTTTAAAAGACATTCTTTTTATTTGCACAGTCTAATGTGGTAGACATATTTGCTTTTCATGATAGCCAACTGCAACTACACCCAAATCCTTTTCATAATTCATCATTCCTGATTGCAGTTGGAGGATGGAACTGTGCTAGCTCCTGTGGTCCATATTCCCAAGGACAAGGCTCCAGCTGAAGCTTAATCCAGTCTTTGGAAAGTATGTTGAGGCAGCTGCTTGAACCACATGCACCTTCCTACCTCAATCCAACCATCCAGTAATTCTGTGTGCTTGTGCCTGAGTGCTTTGTCCCAAGAACTTGGCAGCAAGCATTGTAGCCACAGGAGAGACGTCAACATTTTATCCTGAAAGGAACGATTCTTCCAGCCATGAGTGTCCTTTATGTGTCAGACTTTCAGAAGTCACCACTCTAAGAAAGAAGTCAGCAGAAACCAGATTATCAAAGGGATCAGCTGACTGTTGAAAATTTGGTTTTGAAAAGTGTTTAAATAGATGCTGACTTCTTACAAATTTGTTCAAGCTACACACACAAAATTCTGGCATTCTTTATTGAAAATCTACCACTGCAGCACCATGCTGCACTGCATGGATGCACAGAAAACCTTTATTTTGAACCTACTCCAAATACATGTGGAAGAAGGAAAAAGCAGTAAGTGCCCATTTGAAGAATTACCTATACAGCAGATACGTCTGCATACTTCTTACGGTAATTTATTGGATTTAATATAACAGGTGAACTGGTGCTACTTGCTGTAATAAAGGTTTAAGAGGGATTATT